AACCATCTCTCTATCTCTATATTATTTAGAGACAGGGTTATTTATTTCAGATTTACAGAAGGGTACAAATAATTATGTTACAGTATTTGCATTTGTAAGGTAAAGTCCCTGTTGTAGTTGTGTCCTGTACCCAGGAGGTGTGCCATATACCCTTACATCATGCCCATCAGGTGGGAACACAGAGTCTTTGTCACCCAGAATGGAGTGCAGTGGCATGACCACAGCTGACTACAGCTTCAAACTCTGGGGCTCAAGCAATCCTCCTACCTCAGTCTCTTGAGTTGCTGGGATTATAGTTGTGAACCACCACACCCAGCTCTCATTTACTAGTTCTTGACGGTTTTCTAATTTCCTGCCATCTTCCCAATGGCAGAAGAGAACAAGTTTCCTTTACTTAGGAATCATGAAATGACCTAACTTGAAGTAAATATTGAATGTGTTTCCAGTTTAAGATCCACATTATCACTCTTTCTTGCTTCTAGACCAATAGTCTAAGCTTAAACCTTAAAAATCTAGGAATAAGGGGCAAATTAAACAAAAAATGAAAGAAAAATTTAAAAAGATAACAGCAGAAATTAATGAAAGATTCTTCTGATGTCTGTAGTTTAATTACTAGCCATTATAACATTTTTGCTTTGTATAACATTAATTGTTTAAGATATTCATGCTAACTATTTCTAAAAGGGTTGGAAGTGCTTCTGGATTAAAATAAAGTTTAAAAATAAAGCAAAAACATATTTAGGAAAACACACACACACAAAAGAAACCAATGAAAGAAAAAAAAACAGTGGAGAAAAAAATTTTAAAGCTACATTTTGGTTCTAAAAATTAATCAAACAAATACACTTTCCTCCTTCACAAGCACAGCAGAACAGGATAAAGCAGATACAAATAACAAATATGAGAAATAGAAGAGGTAAAAATCCTACAGAATTGAAAGGATAATAAAGGGGATATTATGAACAATTTTATGCCTATATTGGTATATTATTTTGACAATTATTTAAAGGAAATAGAAAAAAATGAAAACAGAAAATCTGAATAGATATATCTGCATTACAAATTAAATGTGAAATAAAAATAAGAAAATTCTTCAGACTGGGGTTTCCTGCAGAAGTCTATCAAATAGTTAAAGATGTACGAACATTTGCAGAAAATAGAGTATAAGGGATTACTTTCCAACATATCTTCTGAGGTGAGAAAAATCCTGATGTAAAAACCTGAAAAGGAAATTACAAGAAAGAAAATTATGAGAACAATATCTATTGTAAATATAGACATAATCATCCTTATCAAACAAAATATTAGGAAACTAGATACAGCAATATCTGACCGAGTGGGGCTTATTCCAGGAATACAAGGTAGTTTAACATGTACACAGCTATGATTTAATTTTAAAAAGCTGATAAAATTAAAAAAAATAAAAATAAGTATGTATAGTACACTGTACACAGCATAAAGGAGAAAAATCCTATGATTACCTAAGTATATGACAAAAAATAATTTAACTAAATTTAACATCATTCTGGATGACAATTTTCAACAACTTTCAATAGAAGTGTACTTTCCCAACTGTTAAAAGACATCTATAAGAAATGTACAATTAACATTATAGTTTATGAAAGGACTGAATATTTTCCTCCCAAGGTAAAAATAAGGCCACAGATGTACACATATCCTAACTCAACCTGTACACTGGTAAATAACATGCGGTTGTTTACATATCAGTTATACCTCAATAAAGCTGTGAAAAATAAGAGGGTCCACAGAAGGCATGAGTTAGAATGCAGAAATATGGGGACCCCCATTCCCTGCTAGTAGGAGCATAAAATTGTACAGCTGCTCTAACATGCTTTGCTTAAGTATTTGAGGAACTGCCAAAGAATTATTGCATGATCAATGATTCCACTTCTAGGTACATACCCAAGAGAAATGAAAACATGAGTCAACGCAGAAGTTTTTACACAAATGATATAGTCACGTTATTCATAATTGTCCAAAGGTGAAAACTACCCAAATATCCATCAGCTGATGAATTAAAAAAAAAAAACACCTAGAAATATATCCACACATAGAGTTGACAGATTGTTGACAAAGTTGCTAAGGTAATCCAATATGTATATGAAAAAAATTTAACAAATAATGTTGAAACAACTAAGTATCTATATGTAAGAATTAAATCAAACTCTATTCTACATCACACCCAATTTTTATGTTTATTTGTGTTGGATCATAGCCCTGAAATTAAAAGCTAAATCTATAAAATAAAGCAATGACCATGAATAAAATTGGTTATTTGGACTTCATAATAACTAAAAATTTCTTTTTATCCGATAATATCAGTAAGAAAAATCAAAAGGCAAGCCACAAAATTGGACAAAATATTTTCACTATGTATATCTGGAGAATGCCCTGCTTCCAAAATGTATAAACAGTACATCTCAATAACAAGACCAAAAAGCTCATTAAAAATGGTCAAAACTTTAACATTTCATAGAAGATATATGCTTGAACAGTAAACACCATTAGTTATCAGAAGAATGCAAATTAAAACCACAATATGTTACTAATATGTACTCATTAGAATGTCTAAAATGAATGAAAGAATGACAAAATTAAGGATTGGCTAGGACATGGAAGAGCTGGGAACTGCTATACATCATTGGTGAGATTATAAAATGGTACAACAATTATTTTGGAAAAGTAGGTTTTATTAAAGTTTAGCAAATACTTATTCCCTGAGCCACCAATTCCACTTTTAACTTAAAAAATATTCATAGCAGCTTTATTCAAAATAGCCAAACAGAGGGAACAACCTCTGGAACTTCTAGAAAAGTAGATAAACTTTGGTACATTCATACAAGTATACCATACACACATTCATACAAAGTATGGAAACTTTCTTACTAATGAAATAGTGCACAACATGAAATAATCTCAAAAACATCATGCTGAATCAAAGAGATTGAACATAAAGAATATGTAGTGTACAATTTCATTTAGATACAGTAAATTTAATTCAAGGTGATCAGAAATCAAACAGTAGTTGCCTACATAGGGGAGTAAATGAGGGTATAACCTGGAAGTAGAATCTTTTGGGATTATTTTATGAAAATACTTTGTAATCATGATTGAGGCAGTGGCAATACTGTTGTACACATATTTGTCAGATTAAACTGCATACTTAATATATGTACATTTTATTTTATGTGAATTATATGTCATTCAGGGACAGAGGGGACAGGGAAAAATAAATTCAGTTGTACCTAATGTAGCCCCAAGTATAGCCATTTTTTCTGATTTCCTCAACAGCTTGAGTTAAAGATCCTGGAGAGTAGAATTTATTGGCCAGTCTGTGGCTTCTGATTGTCTGTGGGCAAATTAAGACTACTGATCTCATGTGTGCTAAGACCTGAAGTGAAGGAAGAATTTTTTACATGGCTTCAAAGTGAGTAAACATGGAAGTCATTGAGAGTACATGGGGCAATTTGCTTAGGTCCCATATTAGAGTTGTTGCCAAGAACTTATCTTTCTGAATCATCATTATCATCTCAACACCTAGAATCATGTTTGGTGTATTGCATATTCTCAGCAGTGTCAGTGATGATAGGAAAAAAAAAATCCTCTCATCCCTGGATCAGACTTTATTAGATCCTAGGGCCTAGATTCTAGGAATTCACTTGGTGAAGAGTAAAAAGCACAAAATTTAGAATTAGAAAGATTGAAGTTTGAATTCTGTCTGGGCATTTATTTGCTTTCTTGGATAATTTACTGCCTTCCTAATCTTCTGATCTGCTGTGGCTCTGTAAATTGGGGGTAATATATGCTCCTTATCAGATGGTTATGAGACTACAATAAGACAATTCAGATCCTCTCCGTGTACTGCAGGGTGTCAAACTAATCCATTGTTAATAAGAGGTGACATTTTGGGGCCTAGGTCATCTTGAGTCTGCTACAGGTCTTTTCCTGTCTAAGCTCTTTCCAAAATTACCTAGGAACCAAATACCAATCAAGACATCTCTGCCTGTAGGTTCTGGGCAGGGATGTCAGAACCAGACCCCATGAGAAATCTGGAATATATAGGGCCTTCTAGTGGCTGCCATCACTTTCACTTTTATGAACCTGCTCAGGAAGTCAAATTGGATGGAGTTCCCTGTTTTCTCCCCAAAGAAGGTCCCTGGTTCTTCCCCTGCTCTGGACCTTTCCTATGATTTTTTTCTTCTTTGTTGTTGTCTTTATGGTCAGTTGTTGGGTGCTGTGTCTGCCTCAAATTTTTTTTGAGACAGAGTCTTACTTTCTTGCCCATGGTAGAGTGCCATGGCATCACACTTCACAGCAACTTCAAACTCTTGGCTCAAGAGAGTCTCTTGCCTCAGCTTCCCAAGTAGCTGGGCCTACAGGTTCCCACCACAATGCCTGGCTATATTTTTTTAGAGATGGGGGTCTCACTCTTGCTCAGGCTGGTCTCAAACTTGTGAGCTCAAGCAATCCACCCATCTTGGCCTCCCAGGGTGCTGGAATTATAGGTGTAAGTCATCATGCCCAGACTGCCTCTCCAATTTTCGTCTAAGTGTGTACATGTGTGCATTTCTCCCCAGTCAGACTTAGAGCTCACTGATGGAGGTATCTATGTATTCCTATCAGAGTAGGAACATCTGCTTGTGGATGAGGATTATTTCTCCTTATCAGACTAGTAGCCCTATCTTTCTGATTTTATTAAGGTCTTCTGGAAGGTAGAAACATCAGTCAGTCAACAGAACTGGATTCCCTAGGAAGTCTTCATTAGCTTGGTAGCCATATTTTCCATTAGACAGTGGCTCCCTAAGCTTTGTAACCATATCTATATCATATGTGGGGAATACTTTATTATTCTTCCATAATCTGACTTTTATGCTATGCTTCCTTATCAAAGTCAGGATACCAGAGTATGGGTTTCTGTCTACCCATAGTGCTGGCAGCCACTGGTCTTTTAAGCCTTGATTAATGGCTAAGAAGAGACTTTATGACTGACCAGGACTCTGCTTTAGCAATCTGAAGACACCATCCCGGAGCTGCTTGGTCTTCATACCATAGATGATGGGGTTGAGCATGGGTGGGACAACCAGGTAGAGGTCAGCCAGGAGGATATGAACGTGGTGGGGCACATGCTGGCCAAAGCGCTGTGTATAGAATGAGAAGAGTCCTGGTGTATAGAAGAGAAGGATGACACCCAGGTGGGAGCCACAAGTGCCAAACGTCTTAGCCCTTGCCTCTTTGGAGGAGAGGCTTAACACAGCCCGGAGGATAAGTCCATAGGAGACAGCAATACAGATGGAGTCAGTGCCCACCACCAATGTGGCAGCAGTGATTCCGTAGATGTTGTTTGGCTGGGTGCCCCCGCAAGCCAGCTTCACCACAGCCATGTGCTCACAGTAGGAGTGGGCCACCACTCGGCTGCAGTAGTTCAGTCTTGCCAATAAACAGGTGAGGGGGGTCATGAGTCCCAAGCCACGAAGCACAGCTGCAGCTCCAAGTTTCCTCACAGACTCTGGGGACAGCAGTGACCCATAGTGTAGTGGCCGGCAAATGGCCAAGTAGCGGTCAAAGGCCATTGTTAGCAGGACACCAGATTCTACAGCTGAGAAGCCATGGATAAAGAACATCTGGGCAGCACAGGCTCCAAATGCAATCTCAGCAGCATTTGCCCAAAAGACTGCAAGGAGCTTGGGCACAGTGGAGGTGCAGAGCACCAGGTCAATGGTGGACAGCATGCACAGGAACATGTACATGGGCTGATGCAGGGCAGGCTCTAAGTGTACCACCAGCAGTACTGCCATGTTGCCAAGCACTGCCAGGGCATACATGGAGCAGAAAGGAAAAGCTATCCAAAAATGGGATGTCTCCAGGCCAGGAATCCCCGTGAGCAGGAAAGAGGTTGGGTTCTGTTGGCTGTGGTTTGTGAATTTCATGGCCAAGCCAAGGTAGGATGAGTAGAGAAGGGCTCACTACCTTACTGTCAGTCCTAGGAAATGAAGCAGGGATTCATCCTTATGCTGTGGTTGAATGGCAGCAGGAAATATTTTGAGTTAGACTTCGTGAAAAACATCCAGGATGAGAAGATTGTAGGGCACTGGGAAATAATGCAAGGCAAGAGGTGGGTTACCATCACCAAGGTTTAAAAAAGCCTTTTCCACTGCCCTCTGGATCCAGTGATGCCATGGCTGTGGGCTGGGGGTGAGTGGCATGGCTGTGGAACCCTCTCCATGGTGAAGGTATGTGGTTAGAGGCTCTTGCAGCTTTCCACTCTCTGCCTGTGAACCTTCTCTTGCCTATATTCTAATATTTTCTCCTGATTCATCTGCCTGTGTGACAATATAAAGGCAATGTTAATAATAAATGGCCAGGCAGATTCAATGGAAGACTCAAATGTGGTTACTTTATAAGATGGGACAATCAGGACTTAAGGAAAAAGAAAAGACAGAGAGATCTTGATGGATTTTCCAAGACATTGAGCCTATAACAAACTCGTAGATGAGGCTCAGAAACTAGGTTCTGACTGGAAACAGAAAAACATAGGTGAGGAGCTGAGTGTCTGGTAGGCTGCCATAGCCAGAAGATTGCCTGGCTCTTGTTTATTTTTTCTAGCCCATAAGTCCATTAATTCATACTTTGCCTGGGGTTAACAACTCATGGTCAGAAAGGCTCCTAGAACCATGTTCCTAAGATCATCACCAAATTTAGCTAGGTAAGTGGATAACTGCTCTGAAGCTGGCTATTACTGGGTACAGGGTGAATATTTCAGTAGAAAGTATTTCTAGCAAGTTCTCCACTACTGAGGTCCATATAAGGCAAGAGGCTTTGAAATGGAAGATGCTTAAACTATTTCTCCAATATATGCATACACATGTATATCTATATATCTATGTATCTATATATATCTATATATACACACATATATATGTGTGTGTAATATATGTATACATATATATTTATGTATGTAAAAATACATACATATGTATTTTTAAAATACTTTTTCTTTTCTTTTTAATTAATATGAGGGTACCTACAATTAGGCTGCATTGCTTGCATTTATAAGGTAAAGTCTAAGTTGTACCCATGTCCCTCACACAGGACGTGTCTGGAGTTTGCTTAGTACAAGGATCCTATGCTTGCCTCAAGAGTCCCAGCTGGTTGCTAACAGAAACCCGTGTCAGACAACTGGTCAGTGGCAGGAGTGAGGTTGATTTGGCCACAATATATGTTAAGATCATTGAGAATGATTGTGTAGAAAGTATATTATCTCATAAAAATCAAAATTACATGAAATAAAGAGAATAAAAATTAAATTTTAATCACTGGGAACATAGAATTATTCTCTAAAATCAAATATGGAAACCCACGTTTGCTCACATGACATACTGTTCTACTACATATCTCCCCATATCTTTCGTCCATTGCCCACTCTCCATCTCTCTTCCTATGCTGTCTCCTTTTCTGCATTTTTTTGTTTAATCTGTTTTCTAATTCTCAATTACCAGCTGACTAGTAGATAAGGAAATAAATGAGAAGATACACATAGGTGAGCGAAGATCCGGAGTGAGGAAGAAAAAATTAGAGCAAGAATCAGAATAGACAGAGAGAAGAAAAGAATAGAGGAACGGAAAAGTACCTTTCTCAAAATAGTGTTTAATACAATGGGTTATGACTATGTTCTGGTTGCTAATTGAAACAGATAACAGTAGAACCAACTGGACCCTCTAAAGAGGGTCTTCAAACCTTTGTACCCCTAACTTTAATCTGCATTACTCCTAGCTACACGTACCCAGAGACCACAGATGACTACTTTTGGGAGAAAGCCAGGAAGGAAAAGGGTAAAGGCTCCTAACATGACCTGTAGGAGGGAACTGCCTCTTTTCCACCTAAGTACCAACTGTAGTTGTCACTCTGATGTAGAGAAAATCTTGTCCCAATTGTCTTACCATTGCTTCCCCCACATGTTTCCTATCTTCCTTTCTGGGGCATCTCCTTGAGTTTCTACCATGTCATTTCCAGAGAGGATTTTCATGTTTGTGGTGGCTAAGGGCTCAGGGTCAGGGAAATCAGTGTAGGGGACCTTGTGAAATGGGGTATATAAAACTGTTTTACTTGATGAATGAGCACATTGTCTATGTTGCTGTACAAAATGCACAAGCAAGGATGGACTCAGAAGACACAGGGACATGCATTTATGTAAGATATTGTTTTTGGAGCGTCCATGGTTCAGTGCCCTTTCTGTGGTATGGAGAAAATCCAGTTGTGAATGGGACATCCTTCCTTCCTTTCCCTCCCTTCTTTTCCATCTCAGCCTTTTAATATATATATATTTTTCTTTTTGAGACAGAGTAGAGTGGAGTGCCATGGCATCAACATAGCTCATAGTAACCTCAAACTCTTGGGCTCAAGTGACTCTGTTGCCCTGTAGGTAACCGGGACTATAGGTACCTACCACAGCACCTCCCTAGTTTTTCTATTTTTAGTAAAGATGGGGTCCCTTTGTTCAGGCTGGTCTTGTACTCCTGAGCTCAGTCCATCCACCCTCCTTGGCCTCCCTGAGTGGTAGGATTATAGGCAAAAGCCACTGAACCCAGCCCAGCCTTTAAATAATTGAATGGTGTTTTCTAAATCCCTGAACTGCTGGTCCAGGAACTTTTACTCCATCCTTGCTCAAGGGGGCTACACAGCACAATGACTACAACTCTCCTGCCTCTGCCCCATTTGCACAGATGGGGAAACGAAGTTGGAAGAGCATGTGCTGGGCATAATGTGCCTGGATTCCAGGAGAGTGATCAAGGTTGAGGTGAGGGCCTTTAATATTTGAATATTTGAATATTAAATATCAAATATTCACTAATATTCGAATTAGATCTCTCACATACACAAAATTCAGGATGAGAAGATCGTAGGGCACTGGGAAATGAGGGCAGGAGAGTTGTGTTGTCATCAATGCATTCAAAGGAGTCCTTCCCACTTCCTTATGATTCACTGATGTTTAGGCTGTGGGCCTAAGGGTGGGGTTGCATGTCTATAGACCCCTTTCCAAGGTGAAGGTGAGTGGCTAGAGACTTACAGCTTTAGGCTCTGTCTGTGAACCCTCTTCTGCCTCTAACTGTAGTGTTATTTTCTTCTGATTCATCTCCCTCCTGAGATCTGGCAGTCAGACTCCCAGCCTCCCTCTTCCAGGTGACTCTTCAGAATAACAACTTTACTTCATGCCTCTCATCCCTCTTCTTTGTTCTGAATTATTTTGGTATTTGACATAAGAAAGGCCTTACCTAAAATATATAAGAATAAGAGCCCAAGTGCCAGGAACAAAGTTGTCACATGAGTAAATGAGTTCTTTATCTGGAAGCTACCTGTCAAGAATTCAGCACTCACTAATAGAAGACTCATGGCAACCTGCTTCGAAACCGAGCTTTACAGTTTACCAGCTAACATGATCTCAGTTAAGTAAACTCTCTCCACCTGTTTCCCTATCTGTGCCCTGTAGAGTTTGACTCCTACTTTACAGGCTACTGTGGAGATTACTATTGGAGCTGTATGTCTGAAGAGACAATTGTACTACATGGCACAAAGCTGGTCAAAAAGCATGATTCATTTATAAGTCACTTTAATCTGAAGTAGAGACCATCTCAGTGGGAAAATTATCTTAGTAGCAGTTCAGGTATTTCATTGGCTTTCAGTGTGCTAACTCCAGGGTTAAATACAGGGACCGACTTACCAGGTCTGGACAGGGAGTGGTATGGGTGTTTTAGGTCCTGCAGGGCTCAGTGTGGGGAATAAAAGAGTTGGTATATTTATCCTGTTATTAGGGCCCTAACTGAGAGTAGTGATTCCCTGGGGATAGAGACACTAAAAAGACCCCTGGGATGCTGGAGAGAGGCAGCAAATTGAAGCTAGAAAATATGGGCCTTGACAGAGGAGGGGATGATAGGATAGCAAAGATCTATCCTGTGGGTAGGTGGGAAGGTCCTTGAGCATAAATAATTTTAAAGGCTTTTCAGCATAGAAAGATTTTAGAATATTTTACTATTCTTTTTTCTTGGCTCCCTTCCTCTATCATAAATATTTTCTTCTTGGTGTTTCTTTCAAATGAGCTACTTAACTTTTATGAATGTAAGTTCTTTGTCTATAAAGGAGTGAAGGAATGAAGATTAAATTAGATGCTATAAAGCAAAACATTGGTTCTTAGAGGAAATGCTTTCAACCTTTCCCCATTCAGTATGATGTTGGCCATAGGTTTGTTATATGGCCTTTATAATTTTTCTTTCTTTCTTTTTTTTTTATTGAATGGTAATTATGTACATTAATGCACTTCTGGGGTACAGTGTGGGGTTTTCACACACAATCCAAAAACACTTCCATCAATCTGGTTAACATAGCCTTCATGTCATTTTCTTAGTTCTTGTTTTAAAATGTTCACATTCTACTCTTAGAAAGATTCATTTGTTCCTTTGTAAGATAAACCTCAAAAGTGATCCCTCCAATCCCCCTCCCTCCACCCATTCCCCCTCCCCTCTCCCTCCTCCTCTCCATATTCTTAGGCTGTTATTAGATTATAACTTTCATATAAAAGGTATAAATTAGTTTCATAATAGGGGTGTGTACATTGGATACTTTTTCTTCCATTCTTGTG